TTGGGAACACAGCTTCACGTGGCCTTATTTGTTTTGGAAGCAAGTATTACTAATATTTGCTCATCTGTTAGTACCGGCCAGAACCGTGGGCACCGATGGACTGGCGAGAGAGCAGAGGTTTTGTCTTCTTTCATCTCTTGCTCCCTGAGGCTGGGTGAGCACATGTTGGTGAATGAATGAATGAATGAATGAATGACACTGCTCTAAGAATGGACATCTGCACTATTTTCAACCTTCTCACCTCAAACTACCCCGAAGTTGTGCACGCTCAACTGTGGTACCTGGCTTTGGGCAGGTATTTCCTGGGCAAATGCACGTGCCATGATGTTGCCAGGGCCATGGAGGAAGCATGGACCCATCTGGGCTCAGCGTGGTGGGAATGGACTTAACGGAGAAGACCCAGTGAAGTCAGCATTTGAGCGAAAGGTGTTCGGTCCCGTGGCCCCCACGGCAGCCTGACCTTACCCTCCCTGTGCAGCTCATCACCTTGTCCTTTCGCTTCTCCTCTTCTTACCTGCAGCCTTTTCTCGCTGCTTCTTGGAGTTGGACAGTCCTTGGAGTTGGGTCTACTTTGTCACTTCCCAGCTCCATGGACATATACTGACTTCAGGGCAGGCTGAAGTTAGGATTAAAGGGGTTCATTTGTGAGCCGCCTGGCTCTTTCCTTCAGAACCACGTGTTTCCCGCTTTACTCACTCATTCGTTCAACTAGTATTTGGTGCCCACTTGTGCCAGACAAGGACAGTGGTGAATAGCACTGACCAATTTCCTATTCTTATGCACTTATTCTCCAATGTGGAGACAGACAATAAGCAACTATGGAAATCAAGACACGGGATAGCTTCAGAGAGTAAGTGATGGAAAGAAAACAGACGAGGTAATGTGATTAGGAATGGTGGGTAGGGGAAGGGGGCAACTCAAACTACGGTGGTCTCTGGGATGAGAGGGCAGATGGGCGTTTGGTGGCATGGGCCCATCTCACTCACCTGTGAGGCCTCCCGAGGCTCGGCTCTCTTCCAGGGCTTGGTCCCTGTGGTCTAAGCCACAGTCATTAATGGACTTGGGGGGCGGGGGAGTGGGTTGTGCGGGGCATGGATGAGGGGCTTGGTTCCTAAAGGAGGAAGGCCCATAGGTCTGTGTCTAAGTTTGGTTTCGAGAAACTCATGAGAGGTAGATTTCTGCCTCAGAACCCACATGGTGAGCACCCCATGGCAAATGGCCACCCAGACTTGAAAAGGCCAAAGAGAGAAAATAAAAAAAAATAGAGCAAAGAAAAAGATGAAACAAAACCAGAATTATTGTGGCTCTCTTTTGGGGTTCAGAGAAGTGTTTCAAGGAGAGTCCTTCCCTTCCTTTGGCTGATGGGGGCTCCCTTCGGCTGGTGGTAGGATTCCTCCTGGCTTTGGGGGCATCAGCTTCCCCTTAGACCAGTGGTTCTCAACCTGTGGGTCGCGACCCCTTTGGGGGTCAAACGACCCTTGCACAGGGGTCGCCTAAGACCATTGGAAAACAAAAAGATATTTACATTAGGATTCATAACAGTAGCAAAATTACAGTTATAGAGTAACAACGAAAATAATTGTATGGTTGGGGGTCACCACAACATGAGGAACTGTATTAAGGGGTCGCGGCATTAGGAAGGTTGAGAACCGCTGCCTTAGACCCTCATGGGTGCACTAGACCTCAAGTTCTGGGCAGATTTAGCAAAATTCTTAAGCTAAAGCATTTGCTGCTTAGAGTAAGGAAAGCGAGGTAATGTCATGTTTGTCATACTAAGACAGTTACCATAGGCAGAAAGGAGCACAGTCTTTAGAACCAGGAAGAGGGGTGCCTAAGCCCTGGACCTGCCACTTCTAACCCTATGTCCTTGGCCAAATCCCTTACCTACTCTGGACCTTAGCCTCCTCATCTAAGAATGGGGATTAAAGGACTAACCTTGCACGGGTTGTTTTGAAGATCAGAGGAGCCAATGACTCCTAGGGCTAGCCACGAGCCTGGCACCTTAGTAGGCAGGCCATTCGTTCATTCCACAGATATTGAGTTCTTGCAATGCGCTAGGCACTGTTTAGGTGCTGGGAATATATCAGTGAACAAAATAGACAAAGATAACAAACACCCCTGCCCTGATGATGCCCGCATTCTAGTGAGGAAAGGTCAGGGAGACAGATAAATACAACCATAAAGTAAAATGTACAGGATGTCAGATGGTGGGAGGAGAAGAAGGACAGGTGCTTTGGGAGTGGGGACGTGGGGGCACAGGGACAACTGGTTTACATAGGGTGGCTGGGGAAGGCCTCATGGGAAGGCAGCATCTGAGATGAGACCTAAGGTGGGGGAGAAGCATGTTCAGGGAGGGGACTTCGAAGGCAGAGGCCTGATGAGGGTGGAGGGGTGGCGGGACCAGATCACGTGGGGCCTTGTAGGTCATGGTTAAGGCTTTTCCCTGAGTGAGATGGATGCCACCAGAGGGCTCTGAGCAGAGGAACCCCTCATTTTCAATGCTTCTCCTTGCAGTGCTCCCCCAGCCCCCCGCAGCATTAGCTAATGGGAAGGGGGCATACCCGTCGCTCCCCATTAAGGGCCCTGCATAGTGGAGCCTTTCAGAGCGCGCTGCCCCAGCCTGACTCCTTTGAGATAAGTTGGTTCAGACAGTTGTGCCAAGAGGTGGGTATGGAGAAAAGGGCACATGCCAAGCTGTAAACAGAACTCAGAAATCCGTTTTCTGCCTTATACTCCACCAGAGTCGCCATTTTAATTACCCCATCTCAGAAAACTAAATGTGTGGCAACTATATGCCAGGGCCCAGTGAGTCCCAGCCAAGAGAGCAATGACACAAGTCAAGGGTGGGAGAAAATGTCACTCAAGTCTAGGCTGTTGCTGCCTGAGGTGTGGTCTGGGGACGGGCAGAGTGGGCATCCTCAGGGGCACGTGAGGAATGCAGACTCCCGGGCCCCACCCCAGACTTGCAGGGCCAGACTCTGCACTTAAAAAGGTGTCCAGGACATTCGTGGGCACAGGCAGGTCTGAGGTGCCCTGTCCTGGAGCTGAGGTGGCAGCCCAAGGGGGTCAGGGGTAAAGGCGGATAGCCACGCATTGGCTTCTTGTTGGCTCACAGGTAAGCCCTGGCCCTGGGAAGGCAGTTCCAGCTGCCCTCTGTCCCCGGAATGTCACCCTGCAGCCTCCTAATGGCAAGGTTCACTACTGTGTAAAGAAGCACAGTAATCTGGCTCCTGGCCCTCAGTTGAGACTCTACCCCATAGCTGGCTGGGTGACCTCGAGTCAATTACTTAACCTCTCAGAGCCTGCATTCCCTTGTTGGTAAGGTAGGGTTAATAATCCCTACACCATTAGGGTGGCTGTGAGGATGAAATGAGTTGATATATGGAAATTTTGGTACATGTAAAATGCTGGTGCTCACTCTCTCCAGCTGACTCAGTGTAACCCTGAGCAAGACAGGCCAAGTCCTAGATATCACCTGGTTGGGAAAAAAGAGTGGGAGACCTGAAAGGACACACCTGAGCTCAGGCCTAGACTCCCGAATATTCCAATGACAGAACCAGGCGTGTTGGAGGCCTGTGTCAGCCCCAGCAGACAGCCACTCCCTTGCTGAGGCAGCGTCTGTTTCTCCTCCCTTCCCAAGTCTGTTAGTCTTTTTAGGCGCAGCTCAGTTACTGAGCTCACCCAGAGTAACTGGGCCCCAGATGTAGTTTTTCCTTGAAGGGATCATCACCTTTCTGATTAGGTGTGATTTTGAGACATTTTAATTACCTCTTGGTGATGGGTAGATAAGGCAATGATACCTGAAACAAAGATTATTTCTGGGGCAAAGTTTGATTACAAAATGTATCTAGACCACTGAGTGGGAGTGAAGTTCTTGCGTTTGCCAGCAGCTGATATTCCCAGTGGCACTGTTGCCTCCAGCCCCGTGGCTTCCCCTTCCGGAAGGCAGGCTGGGCCCTTGGACCCCTCCCTGGTCTCACTCAGGCCTCTAGAATCTTCCCAAAGAGGGGGAGTTAGTGGACAGGGGGCCTCCCGGCTGGCCCCAAGGTCTTCTTTGGAAACAAGGCTGAAGTTTAACTGAGAGTCTGCTGTGGGGCGCGAAGGTGGTTCTGTTGTTTAGAATGGCTTCTTTGGACGTTCCTGGGGTCCAGCAGGCTCCTGAGAGTCAAACTGCCCTCCGTGGGGAAAGGCACCCGTGAGACCGTGGTGGCCCTCCATCCGGCCCTTCCTAGGGCAGCCGTCCTGCTTGCCAACACTCTGTCCTGTTGTCCTCTGAAGGACATACCTTTGTGGCAGACCATATGTCCTGATTTTTGGATTCAGAAGATTCCCTTATTCGACAATAACATATGGATGACTCTGAGCATGGCTTTGGGGTTCCTGGTTAGTACAGTCTAGTCAGGGCAGAAGGACCATGACCTTGTGGCTGCACACAGTGGGGCCAGGACTGCTCAGCTTTTCCCCGGCTTCCTGTTTGGAGGAATTTTAGGCTCTGCGTCGGGAGCGAGGAGGATCCCTGACATTCATCCGCGTGACCAGCCCACCTTTCCAGCACGTCCTCTCCTCACCTTGGCCAGCAGGGCTTCCTGGACGCTCTTGCTCACCTTGCGTAGTGTCTTTCCACCTGTGCTCGTGTTGTTTGGCTCTGGAGGCCTCTCTGCAGGTCGGAAGCCAACCCCTCTGTCAGGGTCTGGTTTAAATCCCTCCCAGCTGTCCTTCCTTTATAGAAAAGGCTGTTTGCCTCAGAGAAGACAACCATACATTGTTAGAACCAGATGGGACCTGAGAGATCACATTGTGTAGCCGTTTTCAAACTGTGTCGTCGAGGAACTTGTCTGGGAACATGCGTTTGGGTCCTGGTGGCTGGGTGGGCAGGCCTCACTCACTGGAGCAGCGACACTTTTCCTTATGGTTTCCTTGGAAGGGAGGACTGATATGCTTTAAAAACACATTAGAAACCTACTGATCTAGTCCAACCCCCCCATTTCACAGATGGGAAAACAGGCCCGGAGCGAGAGATTGCTTCCTTAAAGCCACCAGCTGGCGAGTGACAGAAGCAAGCAGGTCAGAGCCCCGGCCCCCGCGTTCAGCTGTTTCAGCTCTAAGTGTGGTTCTGTGGTTTCCCACCCGAGAGAGGTATTTCACGTATGAAACCCCATTTGTACAGTGGTGACACACATCCCGAGTCCCTCTTCTGAAACCCTTGGGGCCAGATATATTTCAGAAGGCAGAAATGTTCAGAATATGGCACATGTGCTCGACATGATGTGACACTCCCAGTGGGGTCAGGGGCATCACTTTATAAGAAAACGTGTCAGCATTTCTATATCTAAACATATGAACAGTCATTGCAAAGGGATACATAGACTATAAATAGCCTCATGTTGGTTCAGTTGAGGTTTTGCTGCCCAAGAAGTTAAAGCAACAAGAACCACCTTTTGGTTTTTAGAGAGTTCTGGATTTCAGAAATTATGGTTAAGGGATTGTGGACCTGTAATAATAGTGCCAAACTTGTAGGGGGGGTTGTAAGGGCTAAATGAAAAAACAACAACAAAACCCCCTAGAAGTGCTTAGCGTGGTGCCTGTACAGGGCAATCAGCTGCCGTCTCATGGTAGTGGGTGTTACCGTCTCCCGTTGCCCAGTTCAGGGCTGTGTCCCCTCCCCCACATTGCCTGTTTGGGTGTGTACCTTGCCTCCCCACTAAGGTGGTCAGCTTCTAGAGGACAGAGGATTGTGGTTCTGCTTTGATGAGTTCTGAGGCTCATAGACTGTTTTTGGTGTGCTGTGTTGAATTTGCCCAGACTTTCATGAGGGGGGGTGGGGGGGGGCTCCCAGCAATTGGAAGAAGCCTGAGGAGATAAGGCTGAGGGCCTTCCACAATGGAGTGAGGGCCAAAGTACAAGTGGGGACTCTATCCCTGAGAAGCGGTGTCCTGCAAGGACTGGCGTTTCCCTTTGGGGCTGCTGGCATCAGGTGAGTTGGGGCCAGCCCTGGTTGTCAGTGCAGCATTCTCCACCTCACTCATCTGCCTCCTTCCTGATTGAGCCCAGATTGTGTTCAGCTCTCAGCCCCTCCATGTGCCATGCATGTGCCATGAGCTTCATTTACTGTAGGTGGGTCCTGGCCTCCAGTGGGTCCAATCCCTTGCCTGTGATTGGTTGAGGCTTGAGTATGTGACTTAGTGTTAACCAATGAGACATCCGGGGCATTTGCTGTGGGCGGGGCTTCTGGGAAAGATTTCCTCATGCTTAAGAGTGACATACATGCTTTTTTTCCTGTGGAATTGTTCATGTTTTTGAGGCCTGGAGCTGCAGTCATCTTGAGGGCATCCAGCCAGGGCTGAGGCTGACCCATGGAGAGAGGTAGCACAGAGATGAGAAGAACGTGGCCTCTGATTACATTGCTGACCTTCCCTGGACTTACTGTTATGGGAGATAAAACATGCCTTCTTGTTGAAGCCACATGGAGTTGGATGTTTGGTCATTACTCGTTGAAGTCATTCTAACTGGCACACCTCTTCCCCAGAGCACCCCCAGCTGCCACCAGCTTTGCACGGGGCACTCTGTCAGGAATGGCCTTTGCTCCTGATGCACACCGACCTCATGTGGGTGGATTCCTGCCCCTCTGGGTGACCTCATGCTGGGGAGATGGTGGCGGGTTACAGGCCTCGTTACAGTAACTGTAAAGCGTTACTGACTTGTGTGAAAACCAGTGTTTCCCGTCTAAGAAGCCAGAAAGAGAGAAGAGGTTTCCTGAGACCTCTCAAAACCATTCCCTCGCCACCAAGACAAGAATAGCAGTGTTTGGCAGATGGATTAGATGAGTGCCACCTAGAATACACAGAGAAGCCACAAGCCACAGGAAACCTAATGGCATGGCTGTAGCCCCGGCCACCCTCCAGGCTTGTCTGTCCCTCTTCATCAAGTGTAGCAGTAGTGGAGGCCCCAGAACTGGGCAGAACAGCATTTTGTTTGGTCCTTTCAGAGGCCTGCCAGACTTGGAGTCAGAATCCCCAGGCATTTCCCCTCCGAGTGACCCATGCGCGTCACTTGATCCCCGGAAACCTTAGTTTTCCTGACCTCACAGGTGTTGAAATGGTGCCAGCAGGGAAGAAGAATGAACAAGCGTTTCTTGAGCTTCCGCTGTGTGCCAGATAATGGGCATGAACTTTTATGTACATGGATCCCAGTCAGTCATCACAGCAACTGCGTGAGGAACGGCGTTGGGAGTCGTCATTCCCATGCAGGGCATCCGTAGGCTGAGGCTTGGACATAGTCATTGAGCCGGATTCACTCCCACTTCTGACCCTAGTCCACTATTTTTTCTACTACACTAATGTTTTTCTAAACTTGTCTGATCGCAGGATCACCAAACTGGCTTGTGAGAACCCAGATGGCTCCACTTCTAGAGGCAGCAGGTCTGGGGTGGGTGATGCCAGCGCTGCTGGTCCGTGGACACGTGCCAGTAGCGTGGCCCAAGGATCCCCAGGCCCCTCTGGAGTGGTGATTCCCTGGGTCCCAGATGGGGCTGGAAAGTTGCATTTTTAAATCAAGCCTCAGGGGATTTGTATGATCAGGCAGGTCTGGTAGCCCCAGCTCTCAACCACAATGCTTCGCGTTTAATGAGCACCTCCTGTGTGGGGGACCCTGCCACAGAAGAAACAGAAGGAGCAGGCCACCAGCCACAGGAAGCTTACATAATAGCTCAGGGCAGTCACTCCACCTCTGGGCAGCCGAGTCACCTCGGGGCTGGTCAGCAGCTCCATTTCCAGGCTGGGCCCAAGCTTCTACTAAAGGAGGTCTCAGAGGGGTTGGGGCTCGGGAAGTAGGCTGGGTGATGGGGTGCAAGGTGGTCCAGGACCAGACTTAGGCCATGATGGGTGGGACAGACTGTCACCTTGCAGCCTGAGGAGAACAATGATAGCATCACTTACAAGGTTACAAAGTACACCTGGGTTACTGGGTGGCTGAGGGCAGGGTGGGCTTATGTGGCAATGGCCTGGCAGAGAGCCAGGAAGAGGATCCTGGGTGGAGTGTGGCTTGGGGGGGTGACGGATTCATCCTAGTCTGCTTGAGACTTCCCTGGTTTTAACCTGCGTCCCGGGAACCGCTTCAGTCTTGGACTGGTGGTAGTTCACCCTGTTAGGCGCGTGCAGGAATTTTAGCAAAGGGGAGAGGAACCCTGGTGCAGGAGAAGACAGTGAACTTTGCCACAGCAGACCCAGGTTCAATCCCAGGTCTGCCACTTGCTGCTAGTCTGGCCTTGGGTGAGTTACCTTGCTTCTCTGAGCCTCACTATCTCAAACATCGTTCTGAGGAGTAAATGAGGTCATGCAGTTTCCAGCACCAACGTTGTCAGAAGCAGCCTGACTCAACCAGGAGTACTGTGTGTGGAAGAGGGTCCACTCAGTCTTTCTTAGGGGTAGAGGAAGCGGACAGGATAACGGTAAGAGCAGTGACAGCAAAGGTGGGGGTGGGGTGGGGTTCCTCTTTACTGAACTGTGACTCAGGCCCGAAGCATACGACAAGCGGTATTAGCTGGGTCGCAGAACCAGGGCTGACAGACTGACTCCCCAGTCTTCCTCTTCCGGCCATTCATTCACTGCTTTCGTGAGCTCAGGATAGGATGTGGGGGTGCTTTGGTGTGAAATGGGGACACAAAAATCAATGAGACCACCACTGGGCTGACTGCCCCACAAGGCAGGGATTTTTTTTTTACTCTTTTGTTCATTGTGAAATCCCAAGCACCAATAACATGTTTGGCACACAGTAGGTATGCAGTTAATGGTTAAATGAACAACTTGGCCTCTGTCCTTGAGGAGTTAACTTGGATTCATTCACTCGTCAAACACCTACTGAGCACCTACTACGTGCCAGCCCCTGTCCTGAGGACCTGGAATGCAGTGGTCACGAAGACCATCCTTATGCTGAAGTCTAGTACATAGGGACTTGGCATCGTGTGGTCAGGGCTGGAGTGGCAGAGGCACAGGGCTGTGGAAGCCCATGGGAGGGCGTGTCTACCTGAGGCGTGGTCCCACATCTCAGAGGCTTGGCGTTGTCTGAGGGTCACTGTCCATGGCCCTGGCTTCTGGGTAAATTCTGGCTGATGGGTTGCTGTTTGGGCTGACTGACTGCCTGTGACCTTCTCTTCCTGTTTCTCGTGCAGCTGCAGAGTGGACACTTGCTGAGCGGCCCTTCCCAGGGAGGAGTTCCTGGTCCCCTGCGCTGCCCCTCCTTGCGTCCCTTCCATCCTCCCATACGGCCGGCTCAGCCCCTGTGCTGGGAGCTCTCTAGCCCTCGCCGGTTCTGCGCGTAACAAGAAGCAGTGTTTTCTCACAAGTTAGCCAGCCTGGGAGGAGTGCCCAGTAGGTGAGGTGATGCTGCCAGGGGTGCCAAGCCCAGGGGCCTGCAGTAAATGCCACTTTTCTTGCCCTGGCCCCCAGGCCGACGGAGTCAGCTCTCCAGAGTCTTGGGCCTGGAGGCTTGGGAAAGTAGGTCTTCCAGGCCCTTTGCAGCTGCCCTACTCTCTGTGGCAGCCTTGTCCCTGCCCCACCAATTGTGTCCAGCCTGCCTTCTGCCTGGCATCTCACTTGAAGTTCCCCAGGCCCAGCTCAGACCTCACTTGCTTCTGACACCCTTCTGAGCGTCTCTGGTGGCCTTTTGACACCACCATGGCAGGGCCTGGTGGTACCTATCTCCCCTCAGACCATGCTTCTTGAGGGCGGGGACTGAATTGGGGCTTTGAGTCTTCAAGAGATGCTTGTGGACTGTGTGGCTGTGCACTTAACATGTCCGCGTGGAGCTGACTTCCTGAAAGATTTCCAAGCCTTCTGGGCTGGCCTGATAACATCCCCCTGCCCCGTTAGAGTCACTTCCTGCCCTTCTGAGCTCTGGGGACAGGCCAAACCAACTCCAAGCTAATGACTTTTAAGTTACCTTTTTTTTTTTTCTTAAGCTAGGTTTCTCTAGGGTGTGTGTGTGTGTGTGTGTGTGTGTGTGTGTGTGTGTGTGAGGCCAGTCTACTCGTCTGTTCTGCCAGCACAGCGGAGTCATTGTCTTCTGTT